TAATGAGAGCTGGAGCCGGGGAAACGCACTCATAACTCTCCATAACTCATCACATATGATCAACTAAAGCACCAGGTGATCCGCCAGCCTGCATCCCGAATTCGCAGGCGTGCCGGGAGGGCCTTTATGTAGTGAAGAGAACAACGTTTCATAACTCCAACCCCACACTGGGTAGAGCCTAATAATTTCAACTATTAAGACTCAGCACATTCATGTGCGCGTGCGCGAGCCCCCGATGAGTCACGTACGGTAGAAATGGACTACGGAGTACACGGAAACATACTTTTCCCGATATCATAGGCTAGGTTCTGTAGGCAGTAGTGAAAATGATTGGCAGAAAAAGCAAGATGTTGACAGGGTGACATGGTTTGTCCTTTATTCGCCCCACGCAATGCGTGTGAACCCATTGCCAGGAGAGGGCCATGACATACGTAACACTATTGAGAAGACGAGGAAACCTGGTACGTCATTTTTGCATGACCTATTGGCAGCTGATCTATGGACTTTCTTCCAGATGGCCTCCTTGACAAAATGGGGTCACCTCACAGAGGGGTCGCTTGGACGGTGTCATAAGGATCTCTCTTCTAAAACAGGGCCTCCTGTTCCAGAAAAGAGGTCACTGATGCATAGAGATGCCTCCTAATTAAGAACAGGACACTTTCGATTCCAAAAAGGGCCTCCAAACCTAGCCAGGGGATTCAGTTATCCCTAAAAAGGGAGTCCTTATTCGGAGCCGCATCCATCGGATGCATGAAAAGGCTTTCTGTTCCATAAATGGAGCTCCTGAGCATAGAGGGTGCCTCCTGATCCAGATCAGGGACCTCTTAGCTCATAACGGGGGCCTCCCAAGCCAGCAAAAGGTCCTCCTTGTTATAGCATTGGGCCTCCTAATCTAGAGCATAGGCTACTTTATTCATAAAACGGTCTGATGATCCAGGAAACGGGTATCTTCATGTAGAAAAATGTTCCCTGAATCCGGTTAATTCATCTTTGGCTCAGTCATGGGTGCCTCCTTGATCTGAACTTTGTTAATCTACGGATAGCTAAAATGCCTTTAGTTTGTGAAAAGGGGACTCCCAAAAAATTTCAGGGGCAAAGACATACAGTCAAGGGCCACTGCCCCCTCTTCTCCCCTTCCTCCCTCCATTGCTACGCCGCCCCGGCCTCCAGCCAGCTTCCCCAGATTCCACCACCGCCATCCACACACTGCATCATAAATGCAACAGTCCAATGCTTCGCTGTGAAAAACCGGTAGAGGGTCTGTCTACGTGAGAGGGCAGAAGAGAATCTGTCACTCGGAGGAGGGTCCGCCACTATCCTCTCGGCTAAAACCAGAAGGGGCAAACAAAGATCGTGACCCGGAGTAAGGTCATAAAGCTCTAGGTTCGAAGAGCGCGCGGAACTAAACCACATTTTTATTCGTGTGGGATTTCTGGAGGCTGGCACGGAAGTACGATATCTGCACGTGAACCATCTAGTTACATATGTATTTTGGAAATGATTGGTAAATAAAAGAAGTCAAACCGAAGCGAAGTTATCGGTAGGAAACGTAATATGTTAGAACAGTCATCTGATTATTACAAACGAATCGCTACGGTAATTCGCTTTGAAGTGTTGTTAACTTTGCTGGGCTTTTGCTGGGTGAGCTAGAAAAATACCGAGGGAAATTCGAATCAAGTTATCTGTAAAAAAGGCATAATGTGAGAACAGCAGTCTGAATCCGGATGATGTGATTGGTAAGGTCAAAGGCATCGAAGCGTCATTTGCTTTGTAACACTGCTGATGGGCAAGCTGCAAGATGGAAGTGAAATCAGAAAAAAAACAGAACAAGAAAGTTTCCAACAAAATCTAGCAATAAAGTTAACACAAAACAGCAGCACAAGACAATAAGCTTGCAGCTGAGGGCTGACGCCGAGCTAGGGCCGAATCAGCGACGCCACCTGTGAACCTGCAGCTGAGAGCCGACGCCGAGACTAGGGCTGAGCCAGCGACACCGGCTGTAAGCCTGCAACTGAGAACCGACGCCGAGCTGGGGCCGGGCCGCGCCGAGGCTGTAAGCCTGCAGCTGAGAACCGACGCCGAGCTGGGGCCGGGCCACGTCGAGGCTGCAAGCCTGCAGCTGAGAGCCGATGCCGAGCTCGGGCCGAGCCAGCGACGCCGGTTGTAAGACTGCAACTGAGAGCTGACGCCGAAACTTACCAACGTCACAGACGAGCGAGCCAGGCTCGAGCTCAGCCAGGAACTGGCGCACTCGCGGCCATGGTCGGTGGTGCAGGTCCGAGAGCCGCTCGGCCATCTGGCCGTACACGTCGTGCACGTAGGTCTTCTCGAGCGCGACCGAGCGCGCGTCCCGCTCGCCCTCCTCGTCCGGCGGCATGGCGACTCCGCACCCGCACCCGGCCGATCCACGCCTGGTACCTGAGCGCCCCGGCAGCCGGGAGGCGTCTCGGCCAGCGCCGCGCGCACCAGCTCCCACCAGCTCGGCCGCGGATACCCTGCCGAGCGCGCCCGGTCGCTGCTGGGGGCAGGACCGTCCACCGCCGCCAGCCGGCCGGGAGTCGGTCAGGACAGGAGCGGGCGGCGGAGAGCTAGGCCGTCCCGGGAGAACAAGCCGGGTGTGCAGCGCGCATCGTTCTCTGCCAGCCTGTATGACGGCAGTGAGTGCTGCCTGCACCGCCTGTCGCTGCCCGCAGCCGCGAGGTCCGCAGTGCCAAGCGCCTGAAACGCAAGGAGAGATGGTCAAGTTGAGCGGCCTGAGAAACAACGCCAGGCAATGCTTTGTGCATTGGCCAATGCAGAATGCAAACAACGCCAGCCAATGCAATGCCAGTTCATTCATTGGCTCAGCTCTCCTTAGCTTTGGCGTTATCTGCTTCACCTGCATCTTTGCCTACGATGCAGGACGCGGCACGACTGGTGTGTTAATGACCCCGCCTGCTTTTAACGACTCAAGCTTAGTTGTAACATTTCACCACTTCCTAGCATTCTCGATCAGTGCGACGAATTGGTGATCGGTCTGCTCTCCCGTGACTGTGGTGTCCGAGCAAAAGGGCACCCTTCGCCACCATTTCCCACCTGAAATAGCCAGTCTGTGTATATCCTGCTATTTCTGAAATCGTCATTAACCTTCCTCAGTTTTTAAAGCCGACGTTAAGGTCTCGCTCGATGCGCACATGGCTCGTATTCACGTAACCAATCTCCCCATTTCTTGCATACCAATGCATTCATTTTTGGCTATCTGTTATTAGCAGTTTGTTGTCCGTTTATACTATAGCTAATTACCTCACTAGTTACGGCTACTTAAGGCTCATATAAGTGCGCCTCTCCAATGCCAAAACGGTCGGCCAAATCTTCTCAAAACACTTATGCAATTTAGAATGTCATTCCAGCGTTCTATTGGGCCACAACCTTGTCTCAAGACGAGTGACGACGCTGAACATCCGAGACGCAATCTTTGCACGGGCTCCATTACAGCCTCAGGCGTCGTATTTCTCCGGCAAGAACGGGGCCATGGGCGGACGTGTCACGAAGTTGTATTGAGCAATAAATACCTCTTAGTACTATTTCGGAAACATGCCAGGAGAAAACAATCCCATACCCCCAACCGCCCGGCTGAAGGGACAGATTGGGGACAGGTTCATCAAGGAACTGTTCCGACAGCACCCTTGGTGAACCAGGCAGCTTCCGCTGATGCACGCTTTGCTAGACCAGGCAGCTCCCGCTGATGCACGCGTAGGTAGACCAGGCAGCTCCAACTAACACAGCCGTCTTTGCGGGTTTGTAATGTCCGCGCATCAATTTAAAGGGAATGTTCCATACTTATAAAAGGGTTTTGAACTGAAACAGCGATCTCGCAGACCTTTCGATGCCGTTCAAAACCATGCACTTCTTAAGACCTAAGTCTCTCTAGTTTCTGAGCTATACGCCTGCGAAAATGGGGAGAGTATTTCTGGGGAGTATTTCAAGGCCGGTTACCATTCACGAGATACCAACGCTATTCCAATTCTGCAATTCCATAAACCATGCGGCGATCAAGACCAAGAAAAAACAATTGTGGAGGCGTCCATACCTGGCGTTCGTGAGCACCATTTTCAGATAAGACAGCCGCCAATTGGTTCTCAATCGATGTTGTGCATGGTGCAATGACGCTTTGAACCATGATGAATCGAAGAACATATTAACTAAACAGAGAATTATGCTGTCTAGAGTAGTGTTTTCTACTTAAAAGGCATGCCAATAGTTATGAGTGACTTTGTTTCATCACATCCGATGCTTGCTTTAGTATTCCCAAATGTGAAACATTCCTTATAAGCTCTGCGTGCGCTCAAATCATGAAACCAATGCAGCAAACAATTGATACGACACTTGTGAAACAAAGGACTCTGAACGGATCCGGAACACCGTTTAACTCAGGATGCTGTCATCAAATCTTAACCGTCGCTGTAAGACAAAGTACTTCGGCAGCGTGGCTGGAGTTCGTACTTCAGATCATTGTCACTTAGTCACTAAGCAGCACCCGTGAACTAATCACCACAGAAGACCGAGCCTTTAGTGACACGTCCAGCACCTTCGCAGCCTGTGACACGGATGAACACTTGTTCAGACTGTCGTCCGGGTCTGGTGTGCCAGTACGCACACAGCGTTTCGGCCAGTTAACTCTCCGGCCGTTGTTAGGTGTTACTGAATCCTGAGAAGAACTGAATGGAGTTTGGCTTTCAGCCATGTACGCATCGCAGCTAGAATTCTCGACTTCAAATTGCTGCACTTCGAACAAAAGTCTTCTGATGACACGTCTAGTGCTGTACCAACTGCGCTAACTGGGAAGGACACCTTTCCGATTGGCGTAGCTGGTGGAGCGTGTCCCGTGTGTGTGCTGCGTGCGTGTCATCAGGACTTAACAACGTACTGAGCTGCTACGACTGAATGGCGTGCCGGCCTCTCAGGCCCTGTCACACTGCCACCGCTACCCAAATGATGCATACACAGGGATCCGTCTCGAAATGTCCCTGACGGTCGGTGAGGCGGGAAGCCCCATTTCTTATTACAGCCTTCCTAAGTGCGGTTTTGATAACAACAGTTTTCAATATCTGGCTGATCTTCAAGAAAGTGCTTGAGTACTTCTTGCTGTCTCGAGATCGCATGCCAAATTCTTCCCCACGATGTGCTCACCGTAACGTGTGACAGCCCCTGCGCCTTGGTGACATCTCCCTGGCTGACGCCCTGGAGCATTTCCATGGCCCTCGCACGAACGCCTCGACAGAGCCTGTTTAGTATTACCCATGTTAAATGTTCGGTGATGTCTGACATCTGTGGCTCGATAAAACCTAACGAATCGGTCATTACAAGACCAAATGTGGTGACGGAAGGTGACAAAGTACTTATGAAACACCCTGTAATTTGCTCTCCTACACCAAGATTGACTGCGCGTGATCTAGGTCCCCAGAAATAAACCTACAGGGCACCTTGCAAACTCTTGCTGATGCTGTTCCGTTCATTCAGTCATCCCGATGTTGTAGGTAAGTGGTTCGCTGGTAGAACTGGGGTTGATGCGGCGTAAGCATTTCTAGCATTAATTCGGTTACTGCTATCATAAAAAGCGACTTAGCAAAGCGTGTTTGTTGCGTCTCATGATCATGCCTCTGGCATTTCCATATGCCAGCAGAGCATTGAGCTTACGAGCCATTTGAGATATTTTTCAGCCGTTTTTTTCATGGAATTCCCTGTAACTTTTCGTGTTTTCCAAACTGCGGCTCCTCAGTGTTAGAAAGGTATCATCTTTAACGGATGGAACATGCCGAAATGCATCGCATGAGTGACAAAACTCACACACGTACACACATGCACACACACACACACACGCGCGCGCGCGCGTGCACGCACGCACGCACGCATATATGCAAACATGCGCGCGCCAACCACCTACACAGACACGCGCGCGCGCGCGCGCACGCACGCACGCACGCACGCATACACACACGCAGTGGAGGGTGGAGCTTTAAAAGACATGGTGGGAGAGCAAAATGGGGTTGAATCTATATTTGGAAGGTGAAGCGGGCTTAACATTTCCGTTTGTCCCCTTTCCAGTGATTTTAGCCTTGAGGTTGACTCGTTATTGAGAGTGTGGCTCAGCTTTGGGGGGGGGGGGGGGGCGGGGCATGGTGTTCTCAAGGGCTACCAATTTTTCGATGCACGTCTCAACACCAGTTTCCTCACGTGTAAGTAACACCAACTTCCATCCAGCTGTCATTTCACATGTATATAGCATGAGCGCAGTCAGATCCTCAATAGTGGCGTGATGTTATCGGGGAGTCACAAAGTCGCGCACTTATTGACAGCCTGAGCAGTGCACCACTTGTGCAGGTTTTGGACAGGTCTGAGCACCTCCAACAGAGACGAAGGCTTAGCGCCACTCTCAGCTTACCTGGCGTCCCTCACAGCCGCAGAATAACGGCCATCGCCGCCGCCTGCAGACGTCCGCCTGTGCCGCAGCTGCAGCTCTGCATTAGCCCGACCTGGCGCACCAAGTGCGGCGATGGCGGCGCGGCTGGAGCGCCTGGCGCCGGGCACGGCTGTAGGCGGCGCCGCGTCCTCCCGCCGCCGCCGCCCGGTCCGAGCTCGGCGCCGATCGAACGGCGCTGACGTCATGCGTCGGCGGCGCGGCCGCCGGTGCGCCGCCGACGGCCGCCGACGACCGCCCGCGCCGCCATTCATAAAACAGGTCCCGCCGGCGTGGCCGTCCGACGGCCGGGGACCAGTCAGGGCCACACAGTCCCGGGGCGTACGGGGGCCGGGGTCCGGCCAGGGTCACACAGCCCCGGGACTTATAGAGGCCGCGATCCGGTCAGGCTCACACAGCCCCTGGAACTCACAGAGGCCGCGGTCCGGTCAGCATCACACAGCCCTGGGACTTACGAGGCCACGGTCCGGTCAGGATCACATAGCCCCTGGGACTCACAGAGGCCGCGGTCCGGTCAGGATCACACAGCCCTGGGACTCACAGAGGCCGCGGTCCGGTCAGGCTCACACAGCCCCGGGGCTTACAGAGGCCGCGGTCCGGTCAGGATCACACAGCCCTGGGACTTACAGAGGCCGCGGTCCTGTCAGGGTCACACAGCCCTGGGACTTACAGAGGCCGCGGTCCTGTCAGGGTCACGCCATCTCGGGGCTTGCAACGGCCGGGCCGTCTGACGGTGGGTCTTCATGTCCCACCAGGGGGGGGGGGGGGCTCCGCATGTTTGGGCCACGGTCCCCGGGGCGCGCGGATATGCTCCTCTCCTCTGTCCAGCCAGAGGAGCTCCGGGTGTCGAGGGCTCGGGCGCGGGGACGCGCAGAGATGCCCGCTCCCCCCCCCCCCCCCCCACACCGTCCAGCCAGAGAGGCTCCGAGTGTCGCGAGCCGGGCCACCGGGGCGCGCAGAGGCAGGATGTGTCTCGGAGCCAGCTACTCCCGCGAGGCATGTATCGGGGTAGTTGATCCATTTCGAGGGCACTGAGTGGGGCCCCAGGTATAGCAAGTAAGGCCAGGCGCAAACAGCCCGCTTCACTTGCTCTAAATCTCCGCTGATCGTGACGAGCGATCCTTTACTCACCGGCTCAAATTGCATATAATCCCAACTCGCGTGCTGCTTAAGGCCCGCTTTCGCAATCTTTTGCCTTTCGTACCGAGAAGCGTGGGCAGAATAGCCCATGGCCTTCACTCCTTAGCGATATCCGTAAACGTCGTTATCGTTTTTCAATATTTCTTTTTATCGCCGGCTGCGCTGGAATGAAAGTCACTGCTCCGCCATCAGAGCACCGAAGCGACCATTACTCATCAGATATGAGTGTCACCGGACGTTGTTTTCAACATCCCACAAAACCGGGACAAGGACAGATGCGGTATTCGGTCCGCATTCCACAGCCGGCCGACGACCACATTCCCGCAAAAGCCTCTTGTTGCCCGATAGAAGCCCGTCCAGTTTTTATCTTCGTTGCGAATTTATACGAATCGGAGGTAAATTGCCGGCTTCAAGCAGGCGCCGCGTACTTTCCACGCATGCGGCGACGGCGCGAGCGGAGCTTGGGCACCCCAATGGTGTCTGTAGCTGGGATTCCATGCTGCGGGAGCCGCCCAGCCAAATCCCGATGGTACTAAACCTTGATGCGTGACGGGCCGCGATCGAAGTTTCACAAGAAAACGAGAAGCAGTCCGAACCTCGGCGATCGCCTGACCGCAGCATCCGCAGCCCCATCCGGTTGAGGGCTCCCCTCAGCCCCGGTCCCGGACGGGGCGAGGCCCGCCCATAATCACGACTTAACGACTTAGCCGGCCATAGATTAGCCTACTGCTTAATGCACCGGACGGCGTTTGAAGGTTAAGCGCAGGGGCCCCCACCGGGACTGCAGGCAACCTGGCATCGCGCGCGTCTTTCGCTGCGACGGCGGCAGGCCGAGCGGACCCAGAGGCGGAGGCGCGTGCGGACCAGCGTGGACGTCTTCGGCAGCAGCGGCCGCAGACGACGGCGCCCCCTTCCGGTACCGGCCGAGGCGTCGTCGGCTTGAGTCGGCTCAAGGCCAGCCGGGGCGGCCGGGCTTCCCACCGCAGGAGGAGCAGGGCTCACCGCTGCACGCGCCGCCAGCGCTCAGTCGTGCACTATGCGGACGCTGGGGAGGAGCGCGCTGCTGCTGCTGCTGGCGCTGGTCGCCTGGCCCCGGTCGGGCGGCGCCGAGCCTCAGCGGGCTCCGGTATTCGCCGAGGGGGGCTTTGCTGGGCCTGTTGTTCCGCAGCGCGGCTTCGGTGCGCCGCCACAGCTGGACGTGCTGGCCGTGCCGATCGTGACCCCGTGCCGCACTGCGGACGGCGGGCCAGGCCGCTGCGTCTCGGCGCTGACCGGCTTCTGTGAGGCCTATCCAAGCTTGACGACGCTGCTTGCCGCCCGGCCCATCCTCTGTGAGCAGCAGGGGGCCGACGTGGTCTTCTGCTGCCCAGAGCCAGTCCGCGCGCCTGTGCCGACGGCGGCCGGCGGCACCACGCCCAAGCTGACCAAGACGCAAACCAACGTGGTGACGATCACGGAGGTGGTGACAGTGCGGCCCGTGACCACCGTGGTACTGACGCAGTTTGTGACGGGGGAGGAGGCGGCCACGACGGTGGTGAAGCCCACCCGAGTGCTACCGGTGGGCCCGCCGCCGACCGTGGCCAAGCAGCTGACGCCGCCGGGGCCCCCACCGCCACCGAGACGCCCACCGCCGCCGCCGCCGCCGACCACCACTACAACCACAACCACAACCACCGAAAGGCCGACCACCACCACCACCGAGCAGCCAACAACTACCACCACCGAAGAACCAACTACCACAACTACAACTACTACCACCACCGAGGCGCCAACCACCACCACCACAACCAGCTGCCCCCAGTGAGCGTCCGCCGAGCCGGCCCCAAGCGCCGGCGGCGGTCCGCTGCGCCACCGACGGCTCGTCGTGGGTGGCACTGGTGGGCAGCCGGCAGCGTTGGCTGTGTGCCGGCGCGCTGGTCGGGCCTCGGCTGGTGCTGACCTCCGGCCGCTGCGTGCTCCGCCGGCCCGTCAGCTCGCTGACCGTGCGGCTGGGCGAGCGTGACCTCAGCTCTAGCGCCGACGGCGCACACGTGGACCTGGCCGTGCTCCGCGTCGTGCTGCACCCGCTGCAGGCCGGCGGGCGACACGACCTGGCGCTGCTGCTGCTGGAGAGGCTGCCGGCCGGCTTCCAGCCCGTCTGCCTGCGGCGCCCTGGCGCCGGCAGGCGCGTTGGTGACTCTCGGCTGGGGCTTCAGCCCGCTGGCGGTCGGCGAGGCGGCGCAGTCAGCGGTGCTCACGCCGACCGCCGTGCGCGAGGTGAGCGCCGCAGACTGTGACGCCACCTACCAGCTCTTCCCCACGTACGAGCGCGAGTTCCCGCGCGGTGTGGGGGACACGGAGGTGTGCGTGGCGGCAGCGGGGGAGGACGCGCCCGACCGCCAGTGCCCGCAGGACCGCGGCGGCCCGCTGGTGACGGTGGACGCCGTCGGCCGGCCGCGCTTGGTCGGCCTGATGCGGGAGGCAGCCGGCTGCGGCTCGGACGTGCTACCCAGTGTCTACACCCGGCTGGAGCCGTACGAGTCCTGGCTGCGGCAGGTGGCCGCCCAGATCTCGTAGTCGGCCCTCGGCGGGAGGGCGGGGGTGGGGTGGGTGGCAGAGCCTCTGCCTAGGTCACCCCCGGCGACCGACGGCAGGGGGAGGGGAGTTTACGGGGCGCGAGCATCGAGGCTAACAGAATCTAACTCCGCACCGTCCATTCCAGAAGTGGGCAGCTGGTCACGTTATATGTGTGAAACACTATCTCTGCGGTACGTAACTAGCTCCAGTGTAGAAAATCAGCGAAGTCGCTCTTGACAAAGCACTGGCTAACATTTGCCTTTCACCTGTTATTCCTGGGAAAGTTTCCAGGAACGAAGCAGTGATGTTGAGTTTGACAGAAGCAATGGACATTTGGTCAGACAAATAAACTGTTGTGGACGGTAACAGGAGTCTGTCATGTGTGGAGTGCCAAGAATGATAGGGGGGGGGGGGGGGTGCGACTGGTCTGGTGGCATCCTCGAATGTTTGGATTTTCAACGGCTGGTGCCGTGATTGTTCGCAGCCGTGCACATATCGTGCAACGCGGTGGACCGTCAGTGATAGCGCCTCCATGTCTCGCTAGGATGTTCTAACCAATGTCCGGTGAAGAATATATGATTTCAGACAACTGAAGTCAATTGTGTCTGCGTCGGGGCTCATGGAGTCATCTTCTGACATCGAGCCATCACTGACGTAAATTATCTTCCCTCGCGACTGGCAAGCCCGGAGGATGGAAAACGAGAGGGAGGTGAAAAATGAGAGAGAAAAATGAGAGAGAACTCAGAATTGTGAGGGCGGGCAGGGGCCTCACAGTGGAAGAGGGATCGCACCTTTGTGCATTTGGATATACGAGCATCCAAACACTAAGCTTTTGCGTCCAGTTAAAGCATGTTAGGCCACAATGTCGACTGATATTGGACATTTTCCTACGGGGAAGCCTTCCTAAGGGCTCTGTTGCCTGGTGAGATCACCAGGTAACAGAGCCCCTAAAAAAGCTAGCATCCTTTTCGTTTTGTACGTCCTTTTCATAAGTGAGCTGATGACTTTGATACTATATATATGTATATAAAATAATTTGCTTTCGTCTGGTCATCTGTGTATCTTGTCACATATGTCAGAAACGAACAGCTGCGCGGAGTAATGGGGTGTGTCCAAACCATGCCCCGTTCCTCCGCCCCCCCCCCCCTCGCCCCCCACCTAGGCGGGGGGCAGGCGGAGGGACGCCTAGACAGCGACCACAGCCGCCTGAAACATGCATGAACAGCCGAGAGCAGTCTCTACACGGATCGCAGACGGCTTCGGCCCCGCCTCCCTTCAAAACGAAAAGCATGTGTATCATTGCCGTGGCGGCTGGGTGGAACTTGCTCTCTCCACATTTTCCACGGCACATCTGACCGGCAGTCCAGCCCGGCTGAATCGCCACCATTTATTCGGATCACGCCCTGGTGACATACTGGGTACAAGCGCTGCCTTGCACCTGTGCTGCAAAGTTGACACAATTTGTTGTGCCTGATTTAGCGACGATTTGATGTCTACCGTTTCCCATGCTGTGTTGACGTGCCTTGAGACGATTAATGCATATCATTTACATGAGCCATATTGTGGCCAGCTGCTGTGCATGAGCGCTTTGTAAAGCTGCGGCTTAAGTCAGCTCCAATGTGCATGGCTGCATCCAGCCTTTTATGCATCATCTGACTCACGACATGTCATGAGTTGCAGGTGTTCCTGGTGATCTTTTGGGATAAGTTTTGATATTAAATGTCACCGCGATCTAGAGGAAGCTTTCAGAAATGCCAAAAATAAAGCATCCATTTAAGAACTGTGCTGCGTGTGTAGCGTTCCAGGAACGTTCACAAGCAGACGTAAAGCATCCTGAGTATGTGCTGCTGCGATGTTATGCGCAGTTTTGCGGGGTTGTTTTCGCAATCCAGAACGCAGAACGCTAACTTAAGCGTGCCTTCAAGATTGTTGAATGATATATAGTGCAGCAGCGCGTCCCGTAAAAACAGCCTGCGTCACCCGTATCCAACAGGGGACGCGAGAAGCCGGTCGGATGACCGCCAGCACCGGACGCTTGGAGAGCGGGGGAGCGGACTGCTGGTGGTCTTCCTGTTTGTTGATGTTTATGACGTGCCAACTGCAATGGCGGTTCTGCGTCTGCAGGGCTGTTTGCACGTCTGACAGTAACATAGATTGGTGACATCGGGCGAAGAGATTGCGCATTCCGAAACAAACTTTTCGAGTTACATTTATAAGTGTTGACGAGATACCCATTGACTCATTTGGTACCCTCTTTTTGGTGAGCATTATATTTACCTACGCCATTCTACTTGCACGAAGGTTTGGCCGCATCACTGGCTCAGGCGGGAGGGAGGTACAGCTTAGTGGTACTTTTCATTTAACACGCGCCCGGGTGGTCGGCAAGATACGCTTCACTCGGGTGGGGGTGGGGAGTCAATTTGGTCCCCGGAGATCTCGGGAACTAAGAGAGCCAGAGACACCAAATTTACAGGGTGTGTTGACCTGTACGTGAACTCACTTGGGTCAAATTTTCAGGTTCCTAAGTTATGATCTTTGGGTCAAAAAAGGTCAGACAAAGTCAAGTTCCAGGCTGGTCTCCAAAGTGCCCCCAACACCTAGATCACCGTTTCTAAGCAAAAGGTCACGTGCTCGTTCAAGGTCAGTGGCCTTGTCTGACCTTTTGAAGGTCAAGGTGACCAAAATCATACCAGATTGCTTTGAGTTTTGACCTTTGTCTGCCCTTCAAAACTGGTATTACGTCAATGTAATTTGCTCATTTAACTGTTGCGTCGGCTAAGAATGCATCTCAGAGATGTATGCCTTCGTCTAACATCCCGTTGTTGGATCAGATTAAAGGATTCCCTAGAAACTGCCTTCGTGGAGACCATGGCCTGACTTTGACTTGCCATAGATCAGCGGCCTTACAAGGTACATCTAAATGTTTGATGCCAAACGATTCGTTATTCAATTGTCTACAACTATGCAAAATTTGGCGCGGTTACGCTGCGCCGTAGGAGACCATTTCAGAAAAACCTTCGACGGGGGGGTTATGTTGACCCCTCCGCCCACCCGAGCGCGTGTTAAGCTCCTGACGTTACGGCGCAAGGCATGGCTCAGCAGTGATACGTTCACATTTTGGTGAGCTACCAAAATGTGAACAGAACAGCTTCCGCTTGGACATGCCCACAACCACCGCCATAGGAAGCTCCTGTGTGCTTGATTGGTTGTTTTGAAAGCTTTGTTTCGTTACCATTCTTATGGTCATTACTGGATGAATGATATCGACCACGTTTATGGCAAAAGCAGTCGCTTTAAGGTGGTGTTCAGAGGGACGCGTGAATGCCCTCTATTCCAGGCACCAGTGTGGTTTCTTATGTTGGACGATTTGTTACGCTCACGTTACTTTACGCTACGCATGTTACGCTACAGGATTTGCATCACACTCGCACTTAATTGCCAGTCAGTTTGAGGGTTTTCTTAAACACTATACCCCGTGCAAAATATATCAGGCCAGGACTGCAAAGGTACGCAACCCAGTAATAATAAGTAATAAGGGCGTCGCGCACGTGCACGTTGCTCTTGCGACTGAGTCGCTATCCGCACGCCATCTATCTGAAGCAATGATATGGCGTCCTGCCACCAGGTCCATATTGCTGGGCATTCAGCAAACCAGCTCACACATCAAAACCATACAGCGAAACCACGGCAAACCATAACGCAGCCTACAGTCTCTGGAGCGCGCAGGGATCCATCCATACAGACAAAAGCCGTAACTTATTTCCGGCATATTTGGACAGCAAGGCAAGGGAGGCTTGCAAAATGCTCTACACAGTAGGCTCGTTAAATGGGTTTGGGGGTGGGGGCTAAACAGTGAAGCATGACGAGCATATCTCCAAAGTGGAAACTTCCCAGATTTGGCCAATTCTCATCTCAGAGCTGAGAGGAGGGGGGGGGGGGGGGGAGCGCTGGAGCCCAAGTGCAGGGTGGGGTGGGGGGGCTGGAGCCCACTCAACTGAAAGGGAAACCACACTCCTGCTTCAGCTCTGACGCAGCTGCAGCTCCGGCTGTATCTGAGCTGCGCGTCACCGCGGCATAGACGCAGCTCCGGCGCAGCTGAACAGCTTCCGCTTGGACTAAGCTTCAGCACGGCTGCGCAGCTTGGAAGATCGAAGGCACCCCCTGCACAGTTGCGCAGCCTCAGTTCGGGAGGAGCTTCGGGACATGCCCACAGCCACGGTTCACACGCCGTCGCCCAGCTCCACCCGCTGCGGCCCTCGAACGAGACGTACTCCGGCTGGGCCGCTGCGGCTATGCCATCGCTCGGCGCGGGCCCCTGCCATAGCTGGCACGCCGACGACTGCTCCAGCGCCGGAGTGGATGAGAAGCGCGGCGGTGATGTACGCCTCAGGTGCGGCTAGGAGGGCAGCTCGCGCTGGACCGGCCGGCTAGTCACCGCCACGTGCTGAGGAAGCGCAGTGCGTAGCTTAGCTTTCAGCCGCGAGCTGGAGGCGGAGTACAAGACTATCAAGGCGACGAGCAGGATCATGGTACGGTACATATGTGGTACTTAGTATACATGATACGTAATATACATGACAATATATATATATATATATATATATATATATATATATGCATATATATATATATATATATATATATATATGCATATATATTGTCATGACAAATGCAATATATATATATATATATATATATATGTAATGATCGAACCAAACCCATGCGAAATTTCTCAATAGAAATTCGAAATTTCTCAATTCTCTCAAATTTCCCCCGTCCGCCTGCCCTGTTGTCACGTTCCTGTGTCAAGGGAAGGTTTGCTGGCAACACGCCAAATGGGGTTTAACAGGCCTTTGCGGTCGTTTCAGAGCATACTGCGCGACACGCAAAATCCTCCACAGTTATGTCTGGTGTTAAGGTCTGGAGAAATCCTGAACTTGTGGGGAAAATGATCCGATGGGTGCCTCCACTGACCCTGGAAGATGGGATAAGGAAACACG